GAGGGAAGGCACATGGAGGCTCGGCTTTAAGCCCAGCCCCCTTGCATAAGCTGTTGACTCTGATGGGTGGGGAAGGCTGCTCTGCTGCAGCTCCTGCGTGAGCCGTGGGGTTGGCTGCCTCCGCTTTATGTAATGCTGGCGATCCCTGTGCCGCCTGCTCTGCTCTTAACCCCCTCCTCTCCCTCCGGGGAGAGGGGAGTAAAAATGCACTAAAAAAAATGGAGTAAAAATCTTTCACCCTTATGTTGCCCGGGGGGCTTCCCAAAGTGCTCTGCCCCCGGATAAATAAGCCTGCGTGGCCCGGGCAGGCTGGAGGCTTAGCGAAGCAGGGGAACTGCTTTTTCCATGGCGTGGCCTGAGACAGGTGAATAGCGTGAGACAGACCTGCTCGTGACCTTACGGCGTGGAGGAGGAGGGTGACTTCTCTAATCACGGGGAGAGAGGAGTGACGCAGAGTGGGATTTGTCTCATCTGAGATGGGCGGAGGAGGGGTCACTGACAGGCTGGGAAGTTTTGTGTCAGGCATGGGGGAAGTAAGGTCAGTTGGGGTATCGTAGGGTGCTCAGGGAAGAGATGCATGTCTGGGATTTGCAATCTTGGGGAGACAGGAAGTAATCAGATTGAGATTTCACACGGGGGTCTGATGAGGAGCTCTGTGATGCTAATCCTGATTCAGCTGGAGCTGGTTTGTTTTCTGTTTGGGGTTATTATTTTTACTATGGAGATGAATCGGTACGTGAGGGTTTGTTTTCTGATGTGTTCTGAGGGTTGGTTGGTTTGTTTAATATTCCTTTGAGGGGTGCATCAAGTACAAGGTAGGTCTATAAAGATTTTCTGTGTCCAGATAGAAAGGCTACCCTGACCTGTGATAACAGGATGCAGTTTGGCTGTCATTTCCTTGTGTCTTCTGTGGTAGCAAGTCTGTATTCTTTCACTTTGCTTATTTTGTCTTCAGAATAATTGAGCTGAATGGCCACAAGCCACCCCTCACCTACAAGCGCTTCCAGGCCATCATTAGCCGTATGGAGCTCCCAAAGAAGCCAGTGAGCACCATAATAAGCCAACAGATGGAGACCTGTAAAGTCGACATCCAGGAGAACCATGATGACGTGTATGGGGTCCCATCCCTGGAAGAGCTGGGTACGTGTTGAGAGTGAAGGCAAGGGTTAACTGGGGATCTAGTTGAATTGTTTCTGCTGGCTGGTATGTGCCCAGGACAACTCCAGTGTTCTCATCTGACCTGGGCTGCCTCTAGCCATAGAAGCAGCCGAATGTTTTTATCAGTGCTGGATCTCGTGGAAGTAGACTGCTGTCCCTTGCACTGCTGTCGATGCACAGCATCCCCTTTCGCATTGCTCTGAAATGCTCTGCAGCTGTCCTCATGTTCTCTGCTGTACTGAGCATGTAACCACTGCATCAGTGTCTCATGTCCTCGCCAGCTGTTTTCCTCCTGCTGCCGTCTCAGACACATTGTGTTACAGACCTGAAGAGGTAGACTGTACTGGGCTCAGATAATTTCATTCAGTTATTGCCAAGCAGCACCAATTGGGAGCTTAGCAAGGCAAAGGATGTTACAGAAACTTCTTTCACTCATCCTGCTATGCATTATGGTCCTGTGTTTTCCTTGGAGAAGGAGGATGAATAAAGCGCCACAGCAGGAGGAGTGCAAGGCGTACATCAGGGAAGTGAATCTAAATGCAAGGGAAGAGAATCTAAATGCAAGGGAAGAAAGGATTAATACGGAATACTGTCTGCGTGTGTGTGACTGGAGGCTCCATACCAGCTTTATAGGAGTATCAACCTGTACCTTAAGGCACAATTTCAGCAACTGTGTAAAAGCAGGGAGCTTCGCAACAGGAGTACCCTAAGGGTTGCAGCACTGGGTAGATCTGCTTCCTTTATTTTCTGAACCTAATGTGAGACTGCCTGCAGCCTTGCCCTGCTCTGCTTGCTGCCAGGGGAAGCTCCTCTGTCAGCACAGAGCAGTGCAGGGCAACTGCACTAATGTTTCCCCCTTTGCAAGGTATTTCAGCACTAAGCCAGTGCCTTCCCCAGCACCAGCTTTCAGCAGAGTAGGAGCCTCACCAGGAGCAGCCAGGCTCTCCAGTGAGCTGCTGGTGTCCCTGGCAAGTTGTTGTGTAAGGCGGATCTGTGGAGCAGATGTTCCTTTGCCAGCTGCTCTGGCCTTTGGAGCAGAGTCCTGTGGGTAGTGCTGACACACAGGAGAGAGTGCTGGCATGTGAACGGTGGGGAAAGTCCCCATAAGGCTGCCTGAAGCATTGCAGGGAGACGCCCTTACAGTGTAGGCTCTCTGCATGTTCCACATGATTTGCCTGCTGTAGAAGGACTAAAGCAGCAAGCAAGCCATGTTAGGCAACTGCAGTATGTAATGTCTTGCTGTTATTAATGCTTAATCCCATCTATACCCTTTCTCTAGGCATGGCTTCGAATCTTACAAAGTTCTTTCCCTCAGGCTTTCCTACGGATGGTCTTGCCCCTGCAGTTTGGCAAGGAGGAGAGACGGAAGCCTTGGCAAGGCTGGATAAACATTTGGAAAGAAAGGTAACCCCTGCTATTTAAGTGGCAATTCCTGCAGGCTGTGGCTCCAAGAGAAAAATGTTGGGCATTGTCCTTTGCTCAGTTTCCTTGCCTTTCCTAGCAATAGTCACAGCATTTGCTTCTGGAAGAAGTGTTTGGTGTTGCTGGGGTACTCCAGTGGTCTTGGGATGTGTGTGGAGCAGGAAGCTCCTGGGCTTCCTCAAGCCCATAGAAGTAGAGCTATATATAAATTAATTATGTTTGAAGCACATAGGATTCTTTTCCTTGTTTTTACCCCTCCCTTTCCTTTGGAGGAGTGCAAGCTTGGATAGTCTTCTGTAAGTTGCTCAGTCCTTGCTACATACTGCACACCATCTCCTCTTATCTTTATCTGAGGTGCTAGTGGGAGTACATGCTCGTAAAAGAATACACTTGATGTACCTGAACATAAACAATGGCATCAGCATAAGTCCTTAGGAGCTCTCAAGGTTATTAGCTCCCAACTGCAAAATTGATTTAGTGCTTTTCTTGGCCAAAATGACAAAGTGGTTTAACTCCTGGAGCAATGTTTTTGCTTTTCTTGAATGGGGTGTGGGGGTTGGGATTGCCCACTTGAAATCTCTCCCAGTGGTGTTGGAGACTGCTGTCAGACCTGAGTGGCCTTGCCACGTGCACAGAGATCTGCCCTTAGCAGCGTCCCACAAATTTGGGAGTTTTTTGGCTCATTTCTCCTGAATATGTCTAGGCATGGGTTGCAAATTATGAAAGACCAAGGATGAACGCCAATTCATTGCTGGCCAGCCCTACAGGACTCAGTCCCTACCTGCGTTTTGGCTGCTTGTCCTGCCGCTTGTTTTACTATCGTCTCTGGGAGCTGTATAAGAAGGTAAGACAAAAGGTTGGTTTGGAGAGCCGGCTGGTTTTGAGCACGGCACGGTGCTGGTTCTCAGACAGTGTGCCACAACAGCTGCAGCAGTTACTGTTGCCTCCCTTGTGTTTGACTATTGGGCTAAGTTAGTTGCTACTGCAGAAGGGGCTCTTGGTTAAGGAAACGTGAGTCTCCGGTGTATAGTCGAGCAGACCTTAAATCTCCTGGTACCTTGTTTGTCAGCCTGGGCTCCTGTGTCATGAGCCATGTAGAGCTTTTTCCTGCTACTTTTGCATCATTCGGGTCACTTGGCAGTGTACTGAGTGAGCTAAAAGCAGTGCTCTGACGTTACCACCTGGGATTTCTGGTAAAGGATGATCCAGAATTGAGCTCATGTCCTGGTTTTAGCTAGGATAGCCAAAACATTTTCCTCCTAGGGGCTGGTACAGTGCTGGTAGCACACTGATGTTTTAGTTGTTGCTGAGCAATGCTTACTCTAAGTTAGGGACTTGCAGCTTCTCATACTGCTCTGCCAGCGAAAGGGCTGGGAGCGCACAGGAAGTGGGGAGGGGACACAGCCAGGGCAGCTGACCCAAGCTGGTCAAAGGGATCTTCTGTACCATATAATGTCATGCTCGGCATATAACCCAGGGGGAAGGCTGGCTGGGGGGATGGTGCTGGGGACAGGCTGGGCATAAGTTGGTGGTGAGCAATTGGTTTTTAATTTCCATCATGTGTCTTTCTTGGGGTTTGTTTCTCTCTCTTTGTTATTTTTCTTTTCATTACAATTTATTCTGTTTTTATCTTACGTCACAAATTTTGTCAGCTTTACTTTATCTATTCTCTCCCCTATCCCACTGGGAGGTTGGAGTGAGCGAGCTGCTGTGTGGTGCTTAGGTGCCGGCTGGGGTTAAACCGCGACAGCTCCTTTATGGCAGTTGTCAGTAACTTGGGAATTGTGTATAAATGCATGGGTGGCCTACAGCTCAGCTTGATTAAGCCAGTCCTCTCCTGCTTGTGAATACCCTTGTTTCCCTTCCCACAGGTGAAGCGGAACAGCACACCTCCCCTCTCTCTGTATGGACAGCTTCTGTGGCGGGGGGTTTTTTTCACACCAGCCACAAACACGTTTGATCGCATGGAGGGGAACCCCATCTGCATCCAAATCCCCTGGGACAGGAACCCTGAAGCCTTGGCAAAGTGGGCAGAGGGCAAGACAGGCTTCCCTTGGATTGATGCAATCATGACCCAACTGAGACAGGAAGGGTGGATCCACCATCTGGCCAGGCACGCAGTGGCCTGCTTCCTGACCAGGGGCGACCTCTGGATCAGCTGGGAGTCAGGAGTCAGGGTGAGTCTGGCATTTCCAGAGGCCTGCAGGAGGCCATAAGGAAAGCAAAGTCTCCCTGGCACTTACTGCAAGGATGGGCACACAGGTATGGCTTTTGCTTTGCATGTAAAAGTTGCATGGAAGAGAGGATTTGCTAGCAGGCTCGTGGCCTGCCAACAGCCTGCCTCCTGCCGTGAGGCTCTGACAGTATTGTGAGTCTCCAGTAACCATACTAAATATTAGTGGGACCCACTGGTAAATGTGGACTGGGGTTTTTGGGACTTCTTTAGTTTTTGGTGAAAGTTCTCTCAGTCCATCTGTTTTCTTGCAAGTTCAGTGTCACTTTATAACTGGACCTCTCTCCTCATTGTATAATCCATCACCTCATTGTATAATCCATCACCGTGCCGGTCAGGGAATGCTCCATGACTGAAATCTGAGTCTAGAGTATCTCAAGGAAAGAGGTAAAAGACCCTCCTCTTGGGCCGTCTGAAGGGACAGACAGCTTTAACCTATCCAGTGTACATATGCAAAATCAGAGGCAGGGACATAATGTTACAAGTGCATCAGGGGGTCAGATGCTGAAAGCACAGCATCTCTGCATGGATGTGAGCGGGTTACTGCTGAAACCTGTCTGCCTCTCAGTAGCATGGTACTCTTGGACTTTCAAGGGTTCTTCTTCCTGCTTTGGTGCTTGTTCTTCTGTTCAGCATCTGCCTGCTTCCCACGGTTGGTGCTTTGCTCTGGTTAGGCCTCCCAGGTTAGGATCAGTACCCAAGGCTTGCTGCAACACTGGGTAGTGGTTTAGTCTGTAGCTGCATGAGAGCTCAGCCAGCGCTTTATCAGCGTGAGCAGACAGTGGCTCCCTGTGTGAAAGCGTCAGGAAGTGAGATATATTGACCAGTGTAGTGGCTTCAGCCAGCAGACTGCCTCTCTGCTGCTGCTCTGGTTCCTGTTCTCAGCTCAGCGCCTGCCATTTGAAGTTTGGGTGCTCCTGCCCCAAAGTCCTGCCGGGAGAAGCTCTCACTGCCCTTTGCTCCCACTTGCTGCAGGTATTTGACGAACTGTTGCTGGATGCGGATTTCAGCGTGAACGCGGGCAGCTGGATGTGGCTCTCGTGCAGTGCATTTTTCCAGCAGTTCTTCCACTGTTACTGCCCCGTGGGCTTCGGACGTCGCACAGACCCCAGTGGTGACTACGTTAAGTAAGTGACGTGCCTGGAGCTTCTTACTTGATCCGTGAGCCTAAGTCGTTCGGTAGCGGACAGGTGCACGGCACTTTCTGCTCATTGTGAATGCTGCATTGCTCCGCTTCTGAGTGGTGCTTGTGCATCTTTTCACTTGTGTTGCAGGAGGTATCTGCCCAAACTAAAGGGCTTCCCCTCACGATACATCTACGAACCGTGGAATGCCCCAGAGTCTGTGCAGAAGGCAGCCAAGTGCATCATTGGGGTGGACTATCCCAAACCCATGGTGAACCATGCGGAGACCAGCCGACTGAACATCGAGCGCATGAAGCAGATCTACCAGCAGCTGTCGCGCTACAGGGGGCTTTGTAAGCACCCACAGTTGCAAAAGATTTTGTCTTTAGTGGGAGATAAAATGCTGGGAGGAGAGGCCGTCACTTAAAATAGATAAGCACTTGCCTCTCTGGCCAGTGCTTGCAAGGGGTCCCTGCCAGATCTTCTCAGTCGGTTTCCAGGGAGAGCTCCGTTGAGCTCTTGGACAAGTAAGAGTGGAAGTTGATTTAGGTTTCAGAGCTCGGCACCATCCATATGCCACCAATGGTCCCTTCTTACTTTGTAAAAACCTGGGCAGAGCATCCTGATGGTGCTGGATCACGGTGTCTGTCTAGCCAGCGCCTGGTGAGCACAGCTCTGACCTCCTCCTGCTTTGGGACATGGATGTGCTGGTTGGTGATCCCTTAGGTGTTGCCATATGAAAGGCTTCTTCAACTCCAGAGGGTTTTGTTTCTTAACTGTGATCCTCTTGCCTTTCTCTAGGTTTACTGGCATCAGTCCCTTCGTGTGTGGAAGATCTCAGTGGTCCAGTCGCAGACTCGGCTTCAGGGCAGGGCTGCAGCAGCAGTACAAGTGAGTTGGAGCTATTTGTGTGCTTCTGAGATAGTTTTGTGTCCACTTCAAGGCTCCAGGCAGGAGAGAGAGATCCTTTTCCACTAAGAAGAGGATGTGTAGCTAGGAAAACATAGATCACATTCACCTTCCTTTAGGCTTTCTTCAGAAATCCCCAGTGAGTTTTCAGTCGTAAAAGAGCTGAAGAATAGGAGTTCATTAAAGCGAATCTTTTATTGCCTGTATGGGATCATATGCAGCCACTTAAGGGAGAAGTGCAGATCACTGTAGGGCTAATCAGGTATAATTAAGCTGTCCTCCATCAAAGAAGGGTACTGTTGTGTTTGTTCTGGGAGACTTAATTATTCTGCTTTTAACAGAGTTTTTTCAGAGTTGTCCAAGGAGGCTGTAGTGCTTGTGCACTGTGCATTCTCCTTTCTCCCAGCTCTGTAGCGGGTTAGGCTAGGGTGTACTTGTGGGGAGATCTAAAGGCAGGGCAGCCGTTGCAACGACTCTCCTTCCTCTACAGCAGCGAGGCTGTCGCAAGCAGACCAGGCTTCTCCAAAGCGCAAACACGAGGGAGCGGAGGAGCTGTGCGCTGAGGAACTGTACAAACGAGCCAAAGTGACGGGGCTCCCTGCTCCAGAGACCCCTGGCAAGAGTTTATGACTGTGAGTAGTCCCTAGTGACTGTGAGTAGTCCCTAGTGTGATCTGGCCTAAACGACCTTGCTCTGGCAGCTAGCAAGGCTCAGTCTTCTTTGCTCCCTGCATTTTAACAAACAAAATGGACTTGCTCGTGGAAGGAGGTGGCTTCTCACTGTAATTCCATAGCCCTGTAATTTGGCAGTGCTCTGCCCTCTGGCTGTTTCGCTTTTGCTTGACAAGCTGTCGACTCAGTTGTCCGGCAGAGAGCAGCACCCTGTTGCTGGAACAATCACAGTTGGTGGGTTTGCTCCAGCGAGGCTGCCTTCTGCAGAGTGGGTTGGCAGGCAGATCTGCAGATGTGGTGAGGGTATGGGCTGGAGGAGGGGAGCAAGCAGGTCTCGTCTTCTATTTGAAATGCTCCGCATCTGGAAGAAGCTGGTCATATGTTCTGCCAACCTTTCAGTATGAGGAAGATTCAGTATGAGGAAGTAGGAGATTCTTTCAGTATGAGATTCTTTCTTTTGCTTTCACCTACAGCCAGTGACAAGCACCTTGCAAGTGAAGAGTGAAAGTGGTGAAGAAATGACCAGAGGAGTAGGGGACTTCTGCTACAGAGGGACTGGAACCTGTGATCCACAGCAGGAAATCTCGAGTCTCGTATACATGTGTAATTCCAGTAGCTGCCACACAAGGGCACTGCATTACTTGTGCTTGGGAATATTTGGCTTTCTGGTCTCCGGAGAGCCAACTATGTCTCTTCTCAGCCATGCCCAAAATATGCCCACATTTAAGGGGGCAAGAGCCTTCTATCAGCTTGTTCACTCCCAGGTGTATCTTTCTTTTTTGACAATGTGACGTGATGCATTGACGTAGGGAGCAACATCTGCGCGTCTCCGAATTAGTGAACGTCCTTTCTCATCACTAGTACTTGGTGGTGAGGTGCTCTGATTAATTCAAATCATAGTAGGAGTTGAGAAGAAAGCTGCTATGATGGCAAAAATACAGTACCCATCCTACAAGAGAACAGGAGAATCTCAGTATGTCTTTCCTTAGGCTAGAGTGACAGGGATGTAAATGCTTTCTGAGTAAATCAAGGTGGTTCTCCTGTGGGTCGGAAATGAAATGAAGGACAACTGTAGCACAAGAACAAAGAGGTACAAACTGTCTGTACACTTGAAAGGCACTTAGAGCTTTCCCTGCAGAAGAATCTCGCTGCTGCAAGGTGAGCCATAGTGCCGTTGCCTGGAACGGATAGCTTCGGAGCAGTTTGATATCCGGGTGGGGGTGGACACTCAGAGAAGAGGAATTCTTCAGGGAATAAGATCATACTTAGATATGAGTAAAGCAGTCTCCCAGAATCTTGCTGGTCCAAATAATAAGGAAGCTACACCTGTGTCCTGCACTCTACAGCCTTTCCTTCGCTGAGTGAGAGCTCTCCCAAATGGAGTGTCTGGTGTGTAGCCTGTGGAGTGCCTCATACGGATAGGGGATGTATTCCACATGGGCTCCTTGAAGTGAGTCTTCCTCAGGCTCTGTCCGTTGTCCATTCTGTGTGGATGTTCGCTCTTTCCTGTACTTGCACCCGCGTTTCGAGTTTCTACCCGGTGTACTCCCGCACCTCATGCGCTGCACACTGGTCCTTCTTGCCATTTGCGTTCACGCTGGTGCCGTGTAGCCTAGCAGGACCGTTGTGTAGCTTTCCTGGCTCTTAACCACACACTCCTTGGCCTGCTCCTCTTCCACGTCATTTCAACGCGGTGCCGCCAGAGCGTCTCTGCTTTCCTTCCACCCTGAGAGGGCGAGGGAGGGTAGTGCTGCAGAAGAGCCTCTCTTCGGGCAGTCTTCAAGAGGGATGAGGTTGAGTTGCTGATCCCGTGCAGTGGGCTGCTCTTGGCACCGTTTTCATTTGTTGTCCAAAACCTTTCATCCCTGCCTGGCTCAGATAGTGTGGGGCTACATGTGAGCGTGTGCAGCTGACAGCTTGGGGAGCATGGGACTTGTCTCACGCTCCGACTGGGATAATCAGATTGAGTTTTGGAGCCCGTGTCTTAACCCTAAGCTACGGGGCTGCAGATAGAAACTGACTGAAATGATTCCGGGAAACATGGAGGGGTTGTATTGGGTCTGTGAGTTAATTTACTGAATTAACCTTCCCACTCATCTCCCTGGGGCGTTGGCCCTAGATTCCTTTTCCCAAGGGAATCCGTTGGGCAGACTGACAAGGAAACTAGAGTCACTTTTCCTGCCCTAACTTCCCTCTACACTGCAACTTGTAGCGTCTGCCTGGTGGATAACCCAGGAAACGGCAGGTTTGTCCCCTTCAGTCTGACCCAGACCTTACTACCGCTGTCTTGAGGGTAGAAAGGTATAAAGAAAAAGACCCTCCCCCTGACTTCTGCTGCAGAGGGAAGAAAGGGGAAAAGACATGCACTTTGTACACTTAGGTTACAGAAATTGTGACTTCTGTCATTTGGAGAGTTTCATGCTTAGGCAATGGTCTGTAAATATGACTCTCTTTTTTATATATATATATAAATGTCTTTAACCCTCTCTTTGCTGTCATCCAAATTATTTCATTTGGTAAGTGGGATTTTTGGGGGTGTGGAGGAGAGGGGAGGCAAAAATCTCCTAAGTGATCTCTTAGAAGGTTTTGTGAGCGAGGAGGACATCGTGTCCATAAGGTTTTTGTCAGTGCCTGTGGTGTGGATGGGGGTTTGGGTAGTAGAGCTGCGAAGGACACAAACACAAGGCCAGCCAAAGATCCAGGGAAAAACTTACTGCAAGAAACCTGTTAAGTAGGCTGGGATTCATCCACTCTGATAACTTTTCCCAGGTGAAATGAGAAAGGTGAAATGCGAAAGTGTGGCAAAGGAGTAGGGAATGATTTTCAGTGTGTTCTGTCACGTTTAGGTTTGGGCATGTTCAGTTAAAGACGGCAGGCTGAACAAGGCTGCACCTTCCTTGCCTAAGGAAGAGCTTCCTTTGTGGTAAGCTCTTCCGTAGTTGTGGGTGCTGCTAGCGTGACCCGAGTTCCAAAAGTCTCCACCAGTTCCCGGGGAAAGAAAAAACTACCAGTAACCATGAGTGAAGATACCGACTTGGTGGAGGATTGCTGGAGGCTGAGGTAAAGGAACCCTCATGAAACGGATGCCAGTTTGGGGATTTCCATATCCTGGGATAATGACTGCTCCCTGTGTCTCTGGTGGACCTGCTACAGGCCCCTCAAAGCAGGCATGGTGTGAGCTCTGCCTGGGAGGAGAGAGCGGTCGGCGGTTGATGCCGCGAGGGCAGCGGCTTTCAGGATGTTCCCCAGGGTGGTGTGGAGGCTCCTTCCAACGGAGAGGGTGAGCTCTGGGGCAGAGGAGCGCTGCAGAGCTGCGAACAACGCGAACGTTGTTCCACGTGGGTCTCCTGTCGGTGACTGAGCCTTTTCTCTCACAGTTCGTCAGCCGAGTCATGAACCGACACTAAATATATCGTGACTTAGCAGCCTGGTATCTAGGATGTGGTTGGACGAGTTCCGCTCACTCGGTGCTCCCGTGTAGGCCCGCTTACTGGAACCTTTTGGTTTTTAAGTCCTTGGAGAATTCCATGAAGTGCAATATTTTCCTAGTAACCAGCAAGGCTTTAGGAACCGCAAGTAGCCGTGAAATTTCTCATCCAGGTTTGGCAGTGGGACCGGTCTAGAAGCGAAGTTGCCCAAGCCTCAGTTGGGTGTGTGCAGGTAGCGCCAGTCCAAACAGATAATCCAGCAAAGCCAATACACAGTTTTAAACCATTTTTGCACATGTAAGCATTTCAAATCTGGGGTCTAACTGACAGGTTTTGGCAAGCCTTGAGATAGAAAAGGCAGTTTTTGGAGATGAGGGTGTTTCAAAGAGGTGCTGGAGGTGCAAGGGCACAAGGAGAGCAGCTGACGGGTGCTGCCAAGGTTCACACGCTGAGTTCTGTCTCCAGCAGGCACGTCGTGGGCTCGAGGAGGTAACACTTCAGTCCTTGAGGCGGCCTGTACGTGACAAAAACCTTCTGAAAATAACAGCCTGTGTCTTAGGAGACGAAGAGCCAGGATGACAGCAAACTCAGTCCAGCTTTCTCTGCCCAGAACGTAATCGCGCAAGTTAAACCCAGAGAGGTCGGGTTTGAGGCTCCTTCTCTGCGCTGGCCAGAACATCTCCCCGTGGATGGGATGGTGGTGGTGTGGCTAAGGATGGCGACTGGCTAACCTCAGGTGTCTAGCAGAGGGCGACTGCCTGCTCCCTGTGCTGGCGGTCGGGCTCCCACGTCTCCCCTGTCTGCAGGGAGAAGGAGCTGGAGTGGTCTCAGGGCTGGCTGAAAGGTTTGGAAGTAGAGAACACACCTGGATACGAAGAGATGGGAGCCAGGGCCATGGCCATTGGGGCAGAGGCAGTAGTGAGAAGGATGACTGATGGACAGAGGGTAGGGTGTAGTCTGGTATCACAGCTGCACCCAGGGGGAGAGGGAATGCCTTGGGTTGGATCAGGTGAATTCAGCAGGGGGAGAGAAGCAGGAAAACCTCTCAGCACCTTTCCTTGGGTTTAATTTAAGGCTGAGAAGCGTTGCCATGAAGTGAACCTGGTGGTCAGTTGGACAGTTTGAAGGAGAAAAAAAAGCAGATGCCTTAGAAACATGGAATTGTTTCAGCTGGAAAAGACCTTTAAGATCATAGAGTCCAACTGTCAACCTAGCACTGCCATGTCTACCCTAAAGCATGTTCCTAAGTGTTACATCAACTCGTCTCCAACACCTCCAGGGATGGTGACTCCACCACCTCCCTGGGCAGCCCGTTCCAATGCCTGACAGCCCTTTCGGTGAAGAAGTTTTTCCTAATATCCAATCTGAACCTCCCCCTGGCACAACTTGAGGCTACTTCCTCTTATCTTACACCCAGCCTGAGCCAGGGCTGGGCCCAAGAGCCCGATGACGAGGCTGGTGGCAGCTTTTGGTGCTTGGCTTCCGGTGGGAAGTGATGAGGGTGGCATGGCTGCAGGAGAAGGCAGCCTGACCTGAGCACCCACCCCAGGTCAGGGGCCAAACCACAGCCGTGCTGCAGAGGAGTCACATTTCGGTAGCTGGGGTTTGTGCGTAAAGCCGTGTCAAGGCTTCCCCCAGTCCTTGAATGGATGCTGGGGAGTCTTCTGGGTCTCGCACCATTCCATCTGCACATCCAAACGGCGAAGGGGATGCGTGCCCCCCTTGGGAGGCTGCCCGGGAGGTGCCTGCACCTGGTGACCCCGTGGGGGTGTGCTGGCCCAGGAGGAACATCCCTTTGGAGTTTGGCAGGAGATGAAGTGCCTCGGAGGGCTCTGCTTGCTCTTCTCCTGAGGAACAGTTGACATCCTGGGTCTTGGCCAAGAGCTAACACCATGGCCTCAACGTGAGCCCACTCCGTGGCCTGAGCAGTGCTGATGGGTCCTGCTGCATCTTCCGAGTTTGAACTGCGAGCAGTGCCACCCTCACATCCAGGACTGTCCCGGCCGTAACTGGGAGCGCCACGGGCATGTAGGGAATACGAAAAGTTCTGTTCAGGTATAGACGTGGCCTTGGACCTAAAAATGC